CTGTACTCTGAATCCTGACTGACGGTGCTGGCAGACGCCACCTGCTGATGCCCTGCCTGGATGGAGAAGGATCTGCTCACTGGTCCCCTCTGCTGTCCTGGGTGACCTCTCTGATCCAACCTCGCGTGTGGCCTTTACTGCTTTCTTTTGTGTTTTATCCGTCTGCCGCGAGGAGGGGTGTCACTATCAAACTGTAGGCAGAGGACTTGCAGGGTGAAGTGGGCAGGGGGACCCTACCTGGCTTCTGGCGCTCCATGGTACTCTCCTGGCTGGTCAGGCCACCTGAGGAGGAGTCGCCGCTGGACGTCCCATCGTGGCCGAAGTGGGAATCAAAAGACAGCAGTGTGTGTGGGGCGGCCGCATACCTGCAGAGGAGCGAGAGGAGGCAATCACAGGGTGAAGGGCTGGTGCGTCAAAAAACACCTGAGCCCGTGGCTGGCTCTGCGGTGGGTTTTAAACACAGGGGAGGCTCGAAGGGGAGGGGAGGCTAGATGAGTAAGCTTAGAAACGTGCTATTAACTGAAGGTCAGGCATGAGTCTCGCCTGGGAAGCACGCCAAGGAGCTGGTGGTGGCAGGAAGCGCAGGGCAATGTGCGGTGCTCCAGGGAGGAGGCAGAAGCCACTCAGGCCAGCGACCCTGCCCATGGGCTCTGCACGGGTTCGTTTCCTAGCTGTGAAATGGGGTGAGCCGCTGTCAGAAGCCTCCCCGCCCCAGGCCCATCTCGGGCTCCCTTTCTCTCCAGTGGATAAGGCGGCAGATACAGGTGCAGGAGGTCTGGAGCCAGGCAGGTTGGGGTTCAAACTTTACCACTGCCTCTTGCCCAGCCAGGTACAGTCACGTCCTAGCCCTGAGCCTCAGTTTCCCTAGTTGTTAAGTGGTGATTACAGTAGGCCCTTCCTTATAGGACTGAATGACATTCCAGGTGCCCAGCCAGCACTTAGACTGAGCCTGACACATGATACAGGGTGAGCTGGGACAGCTGGCCGACAGATAGGCCAGGACGCTGTGAACGTCCCTTTGCTGGGGGGAAGGCGCCACAGGGGAGCAGCTGTGGGCTCAGGCTTCAGGATGGGGCGATCAGAGCTCAAAGCCTCACTAGCTGCGTGACCTCGCTTGGTTAAGCGCTCACTGGTTTGAACTTCAGTTTTCCCATCTGAAAAGTGGGATAACGACATTTCTCCCCCACAGGGTTCTGGAGTGCATGAAATAAAGATATCTCCTAGACAGAGTCTCCTGGAGGCTGGCTCTGCACACCCACGGCAGAGGCTCAGGTTCAACAGACGAGGCGGCAGGAGGTGTCCCTGGGGCCTCACATCCCGGCAGCCATCCTTGTGCCCGGAGCGGATCCCGGGAGCACCGCCCCACGTCCTGCCCTCAGGTCAGAGCCAGTCATGGCGGAGACCCTGCTCCCTGCCTGGGGTTGGCTCAGGGACAGGCATATGACACAGTTTTGGCTAATGAGGTATGAGAGGGTGTGAGTTTTTAAGACTCCCACAAAATACTTCTGGTTCCTCATCTGGCAAGCATGTGGCACGACCGCACTTCCTGGCCCCTTGGGACTGGCTGTGTGGGGCTGTGTGACTAGTTCTTATCATTGGACTGCGAGGGAAGTGACTTGGAGATGGTGGCTGCTCAACAGCCTGGGTCCTGAGTGGTCCCCTGCCAACTGGCAGCGGAGCTGCAGTGTGAGTGTGAAATAAACTATTGTTGATACAAGTTACTGAGATTTCTGGATGTTTGTTACCTAGCATGACCTGACTGAAATAGGGGAAGTCTGCCGAGGAGGCTCCTGGGATAAGTCTCTTGCTCCTGAGAGAGATGATGAAAAAAGATGGCCTCTCGTCCTCATCTTCCAGGTGTTGCTGGGTCCAGACACAACAGCATGAGCCGCTGTTGCCTTCTCACTACCAGCTTGAGGACGGGGTCAGTGCTGAGGATGGCAGAGGGGCGGAAGGAGCTGGGCCCTCGGTCATGTGGTCAGGATGCTGGATTAAGCCTGCCCTGCTTCTGAGCCTCCTTTTCTGTGAGATCACACATTCCTACCAAATTCCAGCCAAATTTTGGTTACCCTTAGCTGGAAGCACCCACTGACACTGAACCTCCGATTCATCAACTTGATATTGCGACTCGTCGTGTGGTTGCATGCATCTGTACTTGCAGCTTGGGAGGGTGATGAACTGGGACCCGCCAACGTCCATGGCTGCCTCTGCAAACACCAGCTCCAAACCCCTAGGCTTCGGCACCTCCAAAGCAGCAGAGGGGTGCTGCCAAGTTTCACTGGACTCTCTGAAAACGCGACTCTACTCACCCGCCCAGAAAGTACATGTTAGCCCATCCCTCCCAGACCTTGACTTCTTGTGCTTCCAGGAAAGGGAGACTGAGTCAACTCAGTAAAAAACAGAAGCCATCTTCACCTTACTGGTTGACTTAGCAGCCAGCCAACCGCCTGGTAAAATGTGGCTCCACCACTGCTGGAAATTGAAGTGTGGATGCGTTTATTCCATTTTCTCAAAATGTATCAAATCCTGAGCACTGAAGGAAAACGTCAGCAGTGGTTTGGGTCAGCTGGAAGACAGCGGAAGGTACTAGTGGCAGATACCTCAGGCGGCTCTCCCAATATCTATTCTCTGCTTCTACCCGGGTAACAGAATCTCAAGTGTATTTAGGGCAGCAATGTGATGTTAACAGACTACATTTCCCAGGAGTCCTTGCATTTCTAGCCAATGAGATAAAAGTGCTAAATGTGACTTCCAGGAAATCTCTGGAGGTGTGCTGTGGGTGCCTTTGCCTCATCACCTCCTTAAGGCTGAAGTTCCAGCAGCCACTTTAAGACCAGCAGGTGACAGGCCCAGGATGACAGAGCATTGGTGAGAAGGAGCCTGGGTCCCTGGCAAAGTGGGAGAAAGAAACATCTCATCTGAATCACTGGTTTTAAATTACGCAGCTAAACCTAATCCTAACTGATCCACCTTTAGTGGGACATATTTACCACACTTCCTCTCTTAGCCACTGTCCTCAATCAAGACAACCTGTGCTTTGTCTGCTAATTTAATAATCCCAGTGCAAACCAGCTGATCTATGCTGACCATTCTTTGGGGGCTGCTGAATATGTCACATTTGAGGCCATTTCTATCACTGCAATATTTGGTCAAGTTGATTAGAAACAGGGACATGCCAAGCATCTCACCATGTATAGCTCTGGGTAAGAATGCCCAGAACAAGAGATCAAACATCTTCGATCTCATCTGAGAAAATTTCAAGTACTCTATCTTTACTTAGAAGAGAAAAAACATTTCAAAGCTAAAGGGTTTGAGGTTTTAGTGAGGAACTAACGAGCTGCAGTTTCAGGTATCTCCAGACAGACGCTGGACAGACTGACTGAGACTGGGGAAGCCAAAGTGGGGGTTGCCTTAAGATCAGCAGGGTCAGGCTGCTATGATGGAAAGCAGCCTCTCTGAGGGGAAGGCTCCCGCCTGCGGTCAATCTCCTGCACTGACTGATGGGACAACGAATGGGTGGATTACGGGATGACTGAGTAAAAGGGTGGATGGATGATGTAGCCACTGTTGGCTGCCACCCCAAAGCCACAGTCATCCTTGTCCTTGGTGGTAGAGCCCAGATTCTGCTCTGGCAGCCATTGCTCCGCCACGTGGCTTGAGTAAATCCTTACAGTTTCAGAAAGCCATGCAGGTCCAATGTGACCTTATCAGGGATGGGCAAGTGACTCGGTTCCTTCGCTCTTAACAAAAGCTCCTTCTCTCTTCTTCTGCAGGGAACTGGCTTTGCTTGGGGCCACAGCAGCCATCGTGGGTCATGAGTGGGGCAGATCCCTGAGGACCTTGCTGCAAAACTAAGCAGCCCTAAAGTACCCTCTCTCGGGATACGTTACATGATGATAAATCCCCTTAACGCCTCCTGCCTTCTTGAGTTAGGTTTTCTGTCACTTGTGGTCGAATGGCTCCTGACTGATGTACCAGTCTTTATGGAGCTGGCGGAGAAAAACGGGGGAAAAAAATCAAGCCAAACAGGTGTTGTAACGAGCAGAAGGCAAGCGGCCAGTCCAGCCCCGCAGGCCTGCTGAGCTGGGCATGTGATTCCGTCCCTAAGGCTGTGTCCTGACTTCGGTAGTTCGCTCGTCTTGCACATGAGAATGGCAAACTCCCGAGGACAGGGACAGCACCTGGCAGCCTCTGTACCTCAGCTGCCAGCACAGGCACCACACTCAGCGCTAACAGTCACCACCCCCACGGAGCACATACTATGTGCCAGGCACAGTGCCAAGTGCTCCAGAGGGTGGCCCTCCCTCAATCTTCTTAACACTGCTCAGAGACACACATTTTACATGTGAGCAAACTGAAGTGCAGCGAGGAAGTCGCTTGTCCACACTCACACAGCTGGTAAGGGGCAGGCCATCTTGTCACCTTGTCTCTCAGGAAATCTGAGATGGGTAGGTTCTGTCTGTGATGGCCTTTGCTTTCTTAAAAGTGTGATGAATCTGGCAAGTAGCAGCCCGCTGGAGGAGACAGCAAGAGACGGAGGGGTCCACAGGGAGAAATGTCTCGGGCTGGGCCGGAATATCTGGCTTCAGGGTGTCATGGAATGACTGTGCAGCAGGCAAAGAGGAAAGGACTTGAGGCCAAAGGCCACCATGATCTGCTCCCAGCCACTTACCGCAGGCTGGTGACTGCCTGTGAAAGACACTTTTGGGGGTTTTGAGGATGAGGTGTGCTAGGAACATTGGGTAAAACTTGGCACCCAGCTATTGACAGAGATAACAAATGCTGAGGTTTGGGCTGCAGAGGGCAGAGTCAGGCTCTGTTAGATCCCTGGGAACAGCTGGAATCCAAGAAAAGGTGTCACTTTCCCATGTGCCAATGCCGAGAGCCTGAAATACAAAGTGCCACTGTGGGTTGGGGACTCCAGCAGGGACCATGCATGTCACCCTGACTTGGAAGATGAGCCCAGAGTCCTTCAGCACACAGGAGAGCCTGGGGCTGGGGTCAGCCCTCTGGAACCGCACAGGTCTGGGTGCCTGTCCTGATTCTGCCACTTCCAAGAAGAGTGACCTTGATCAAGTAGACTCACCCCATCGAGGCTCAGTTTACCCGCTGTAACACAGGATAATTCAACCACCACCTTGTGGGGCTGCTGGGAGCACTCACTGAGATTGTGTATGTAGATCAATGGAACAGACTAGAGAACCCAGAAACAGACCCATGCAAATGTACCCAATTAATTTTCCTTTCCAAGGAATTTTTGCTTTAAAGAGCAAAAGCGATGTAATGGAGATGAAGCCTTTGCAATAAATGGTGCTGGAACAAAATGAACACAGGCATAAAAGAGAACCTCCGTCTAAACTGCACGCTTTATGCAAAAATTAACTCAAAATAGATTATAGACTTAAATGTAAAATATAAAACTTCTAGAAAAAAATGAGAAAATTCTTAGAAGCCAGGTCTAGGCAAAGAATTAGACCTTACACCAAAAACATGACCCATAAAAGGAAAAAAATGATAATTTGGACCTCTTCAAAATGAAAACTTTCATTCTGCGGAAGACCCTATTAATAAATGAAAAGACACACTAAAGACTGGGAGGAAATATGTGTGAATCACACATCTGACAAAGAACTCGTATCTAGAATATACGAAGAACTCTAAACAACAAATCCAATGAGAAAATGGGCAGAAAACATTTTGCTGACGAGATACACAGTTGGCAAATAAGCACATGAAGAGATGTTTAACATCATGAACCATCAGAGACATGCAAATTAAAACCACAATGAAATACCATTACACACCTATCAGAATGGCTAAAATGACAAACGGTCATGACACCCAATGGTGGTGAGGACGTAGAGAAACCGAATCACTATACCCTGCCAGCGAGCACGTGGGATGGCACAGCCAACTTGGAAAACAGTTTGGCAGTTCCTTTTTAAACTAAAAATGGACTTGCCACACAGTAAGCAATTGTATTTTTTCCCTTAAGCACTTCTCTGCGTGCAATACAGAATAGTCAGCACACCCGTTCACTGAATTAACACTGTTCTCGATCTGCTGAGCAGGTAGCACTCTTAGAAGCATCTGCCCGCCAGCTCTGAGGTATAAGTAACAAAGCTGTAATACATTTAAAGTGTGTAACTCGATGAGTTGACATACATCTACATTGTGCAAGGATTACCACAATCACGTTAATTAACACATCTACCACCTCACATAGTTCTTTGTGGGCGGAGAATGCTTAAGATCCACTCTCTTAGCAGACTTCAAGTGTACAATACAGAATTATTAACTATAGCCACCATGCTGCATACCGGCTCCTCAGATAACATCTCATAACTGAAACTCGGTACTCTTTGAGCGAAATCTCCTCATTTTCCCCACCCCCAGGCAACCACTATTCTACTCCGTTTTTATGAGTTTGACTTTTTTTTTATTCTGCCCTGTACATTTCTTTTTTTTGATACCATACAGTATGTCTTTCTCTGTCTGACTTATTTTACTTAGCATAATGCCCTCCAGATTCATCTATGCTGTCACAAATGGAAGAATTTCTTTACGGCCAAATAATATTCCATCGTCTATATGTCCCACATTTTCTTTATTTATTCATCTGTTGACAGACATTTAGGTTGTTTCTGTATCTTGCCAAGCAATTGAATTCTTGGGCATTTATCCCAGAGATACAAAAACTTATTTTCATGCAAGCTCGGGGCATGAATGTTTTTAAAAGCCCCAAGCCCAGAAACAACCCGAACATCCTTCAGTGGGTGAATGGTTACACAAACTACGGCCCTTCCTTCCATATCGTGGACTACGACTCAGAGATAATCAGAAATTGACTATGATACATGCGACGGCTCAGATGGACCTCAAGGAAATTACGCTGAGTGAAAAAGAATCTCAAACAGATCTGCACTGTATGTTTCCTTTTACATAACATTCACAAAGTAACAATAGTTAAAGAGATGCACAACAGATTAAGGGCTGCCAGAGGTCAGGGATGGGGAAAGGGGTGTGTGGCCATGAAGGGGTAGCAAGGGGCAGCAGGAGGCAGTTTGTGGTGACGGTACTTGTGGTGGTGGTTGACAATGACCACAGTGACAAAATTTCATAGAGCTACACACACACACACACACACACACATGTGCGCACAAGTACATGTATAAGTGGTGAATTGTGAACAGGCTCTGGCATTGTTCCACCGTCAACGTCCTGCTTTGACATCCTGGTCACGCAAAGCATTAACACTGGGGGGTGGGGGTGGGGCTGAGTGAAGGGCTCACGGAGCTCCCCGTACATTTCTTTTCGATTTCCTGTGAATATATATTTCAAATAAAAAGCTTAAAAATAAGAATAACAAAGGGGGGACACCAAGACTTTGAAAAAAAATGCTCCCTGGAGTCATAAGTAACATCGCCCCCACTACCTCTGCTCTTAGCTAATTGCTTGGTGGCCACTGAGCCATTTCCAGCCCCAGTGTTGCTGCTACTCAGGTGCCCCCGCCCCACAGC